TAACAGCTGTCCTGGAGTTGTACTGGGTTGTGCCCTGAGGTGCTGAAGGACTGTGGTTCAAATCCAGCAGCTGCTCCACCAGAGCGAAGATGAGGTTGTCTGCTGCCATGGAGATTTACAGCCTCAGAAACCTTAGGAAGCAGTGCTACTCTGCCAAATGAGTCGGAACTGGAATTGACTTGACAGTTGTTGGTCGCTGGGTGTTTTGGGGGTGGGTGCCTGGGACTGGTTTGCCTCTCAGCATAAGGCCGGTGGAGAAGGGTGCTACCTGTCCTCCCCGCCAGGGGCACTGGAGGTATCAGAAAGGACTCACTCTGCCATCAAGTGGATTGGGACCCACAGCGACTCTACCGAGCAGAGTGGAGCTGTCCCTGTGGGTGTCTGAGACCGCAAATGAGGCAGAGAGCCTCATCTTTGTCTCTGGTTTTGAACTGCTGACCTTGTGGTTAGCAGCCTGGTGTGTAACCAACCCACTCTAACTCCACCAGGGCTTCTATTGGGAGAGAGGAGGCCTCACACAAGTCCATTTCCAGACCATCAGTCCTTAGCCCACGCCCACCCCCACCCTTGGGATCCTCTTTGACAGCTTTGTGCAGGCTTGGGAGCCTGCTTTGGGGAGACCCCTAAGACGCACCTACCTGGGAAGGGGGGCGGGGAGCTGGCTTGAGCTCACAGGGCACAGGGCCTGGCCTGACCATACTGCAGCTCTGGGGCCCCCTCCCCTGGCCCAGCTTCAGCTTTCCTTTCAGGGCTAACTGAGCACTTTTGTTCATTGCCCCCCCTGCCCCCTGTGGGGGCTTGTGCATCCCTGCCTGTGTATGTTGATGTCTCAGAGGTAATTGTGTCTGTGTGGTCCGTGCATGTAAGGAGGGCTGGGGTCTTCAGGGACCCATGTGTCACACCCCAGCATGTGCTGAGGGTGCTGAGTGACCAGCAGGGCAGCATGCACTGCGCCTACGGCTGGATGGCAGTGTGGCCCCTGTGCACGTGCACCCATCCGAGCTGCCTGTGAGGGCAGACAGCTGCCCCTCAGCCTGGCCCAGGGGCAGGAGGGGCCTGGAGGGAGCCCCAGATGTGGTGCCCCCCCAGGGCTTGGATCCTTCCCTGCCCTGAGCATCCTTGGGTGCCTGATTGCTCTGGGCATGGATTCCCCCGACTGAACCCAATCCTGAGGTGCACGCCTATACCCACAGAGCCCCTGGGCTGGAGCCAGCAGATGGGGGTGGGGGGGGCAGGGGGCGGAAGGGCTTGATTGCAGCCATGAATCATTCCCAAGTAGCTCCTGTCCATTGGGGAGCGGGGGAGGGGGCAGTGATGCCTGCCTGGAGCTGGAATCCTGGCTGGCCTGCAGGCCGACTCTCCTCTCTCACTAGCAGCACACGGGTTTCACCAGAGGCTCTGCTCCACGGTTTTATCTCCTCTGCCACTGGCTGAACGGA